GTTCGAACGAGCCGTTTTAGGGGGGGCGTTTGATAAAGAATATCTCTTTGGTTTTGAGACTTTAGTCTTTGCAACTTTAGGGATCTTATCTATGCACAATCAGCTTGTAACACTCCAAAGAGAAAGGAAAACTTGAAATCACATCATATGACCCCTTTAATAATCAACTAGTCAACTGTTAGAGATAATTCCTGTTACTCACCTAAACTGGTGGGTTTGATAAGCTCATCGAGTACATCATAGAATGGCAGCCTTTGGAGCTTGACGTCTGGATGGACTGGGTGAAGGGCGGAGGGCAGATGGGGCAGGCCCAGCTCGTGCTTTGGCCCGAGTAGTGCGACAGGGAGTAGAGATGGTGAGCCATGCCCATCGAATCCCAGCTGTGTCAGGCTGGTGGGCATGCCAGCGGGAGCACCTCCAGTGGTGGAGTGTAGGCCAGGGAGGGAGAGGTCTGATGGGGACACCATCTTTGTGGGGAAGCGGCGGCGATAGAGCTCCTTGATCTTCATCTGCACAGCAGGGCTGCAGCTGGCTTTCAACAAATGTAGCGCTTTGGTCAAGAGTTCATGCTTCCTTCCATGTTTGTTGCGGCCTGCATACCCCAGAAGAACCTGAAGCTCTGAGACACGGAGGCTCATCACCATTTGCTGTTTTAAAAAAATAGAAGAAACAGGAGTTAATATATGCAATTGACAAAACAAATATTTAAGAAAGCACCTAAATAGGCTAAAGGAAACATTTAACCCCAAAATGATGGTCCATTTTTCTATTTGGGCATTCCATAGGGGGAAAAATTATTCACATAGGAACAACCTATGTGTCACGAATCTGGTCCGTGGTCTTCAGTCTGCTCATCACCAGAGGTCACCTTCTGATTACATTGACTCTCACACCACACAAACTGTTGCACGTCACCCTGGACTACATTTCCCATGCTCCATTGTACTGATTGGACTCGCCTATAGCCAATCACACACACTATATAACAACCACTCAAATCTTTCTCTAATAGCCAAATATTGTCTGCGTTTATCACTCTCCTAGTGGTAGCACTTTACAGAGCCAGTATCCTGTCTGAGTTTAGTTTAGTTCCTAGTCCTGTTTTGTAACGTCTAGTTTTGCCTGATTGTCTGTTCCTGGCTGATAACCTGCCTGTCTTGGATTTCTCGTCTTGTTGTTTGGATTCTGTTCGCACCTCGCCTGGATTAATATATCCGTCTGTGGATTACTTGCCTGCCTCATCCTTTGGATTATGTTCGCCATTGATCGACCTACACCTGTTTATTGGATCACTCTTCTGTCTTGCCCTCTAAATACCTGTTTGCCATTGTCCGACCCTTGCCTGTTTTGAATATGTTTAAGAATAAAACTTTGCAGATGGATCCGCACGTCTCTCGTCTCAGTCGCCCCGTTACACTATGGTTGAGTAAATAGTACAGTAAAATAGAGTAAATAGTTGAGGGTTATTTTTTTTTGAGAAAAACTAGCAATAAATAGTAACAACATAACACCATTCAAAAGTTTGGGTTCGGTAAGATTTTTTAAATGTTTTTGAAAGAAGTCTCTTATGCTCACCAAGGCTGCATTTATATAAAATACAGCAAGACCGTGATATTGTAAAATAATTGCAATTTAAAAGAACTTTTTTATTTTAATATATTTTAAAAAGCAATCTATTCCCCTGATGGAAAACCTGAATTTTCAGTAGCCATTACTCCAGTCTTCAGTGTCACACGATCATTCAGAAATCATTCTTATATGCTGATTTGGTGCTTAAGAAACATTTCATAGTATTATCAATGTTAAAACGGGTGTGCTGATTTTTTTTCTTTTTTCTTGTGGAAACAATAAAACATTTTACTTTAATAAATAGGATTGTTTGATAGATAGAAAATTCAAAGGGAAGCATTTATTTAAAATACAATTTTTTTTAAACATTATAACTTCACAGTCACTTTTGATCAATTTCATGCATCTTTACTGAATAAAAATATACACTCTTTAAAAAAACAACACCCTAAACTTCTGAACAGTAGTGTATTTTTTAATAGATTTTGCAACCCATTTCTACATGTTGCAACTACTGACAGACACACATCTCCCAGGTAAAATCACAGCGTCATCGTTTAATTTCTACTTAAAGGGGTCATATGATGCCATTTCAAGTTTTCCTTTCTCTTTGGAGTGTTACAAGCTGATTGTGCATAGATAAGATCCCCGAAGTTGCAAAGACTAAAGTCTCAAAACCAAAGAGATATTCTTTATCAAACGCCCCCCCTAAAACGGCTCGTTCTAACACGCCCCCACATATCTACCTCACTATGTGGAAATATTTGCATAATTTGGCCCAAATGTGCACGCAAAGAAAGAAGGCGTGGTTTCAGTAACCGCAGTTAGTGTTGAAGCAGTCATGTCAGGGAGACGCTGTGTGTTTCTAGGCGAAAGCAAAAGCACTTTATTTGGCCTTCCGAAAGTAGATGCATTTAGGAATCTTTAAGATTACTTACAACAGAACAGCCATGCATTTTATGGATGACCGTTTCATGAACCTAGGAGAGGAGGTAATTCTGACTTTGCTATGACAATCTGGCACTTCTGAAACAGCTACTGTTTTGTTATTAGTTTAA